TTTCGTCCCTGCTAATTGACTCACCTACCAATCTCTTCGACCAAAGAATATTTGGATTAAGTTAGAAGAAAGAGTTGAAAAAAAAGGGACTTAAAATTTATAAATTTTGTTTTTGTTGTGTGTGGTTGGAATTATATGTGTGTTTTGTATGTGTATTAGTCTGTGTGTGTATTCATGTGTATTTTCTAAAGATTAAGTGTGTGTATATATTCTTGTGTTTGTGACTTTTTTAAAAAAGAGTAATTATGTGTCAATATTTCATGTTTACTTTTAAACTTTAGTAAATATGTTCAATGACAAGTTTCAAGCGTTTCGAATTATAATCAACAAAATTCACAAGGTGTATATTTTTAATAAAACATTTCAATATGTCTTAATTTTTTTTTAAATTAAATTATGAGTACATTTAAAAATCCATGTAATTATCAAGACTATTATAATATTACTAAATTGGATGATCGAACAAAACCAATAATAGCAATGTTATCCAAATTTCAGTTTTTCATTAATTACCTTTAGATCTATTTGTGAACAACTATAATATTGGGTTGATTGATTAAAAAATTCAATTTTTTAATAGTCATCTCTTATAGGATCAAATACTTTAACTTAATGAAAATCTATAAAGCTCATCTATAAAATAAAAAAATAAAAATAAATAAAAAAGGGGGGGGAACATTTTATACTGAAGTACTGAACAAAGAAAACTCAATAATTTAAACTGAAGTACTGAACAAAGAAAACACAATGATTCGACCACAAACCTGAGTCATAAGGTAGTATGAATAAATTAAATTAAAATATTTGTCCGTGACTCTTTGGCATTAGTGTCGATAGACTAAGGTCAAAGATCGAAAGACTTTAATTGGTTGATAGAAGATGGTAATTAATTTGTTATTGAAAATTCATATCAAAATACTTATTCACAGGGTTAAGTATGAAATGAATCAAGACTATAAGTGAGATTGGGAGAAAGAATAAAGAAAATTCAAAGATTGTTTGTTGTCCCTGTTGTGGTGGGAGGCAATTTGGGAGATAAAGTGCGTGTATGGAGTTATGCACATGTGTTTTTAATGTTCATTACTGTACTTGTGATTATAGAAAAGGTATTAATTGGATCACAGATTTGAATTACAAGGCAGAATGGATCAATCCGATTAAAATATCCGTGTATGACCCTTTGGCTCTAGCGCTAATAGACTAAGGCTAAAGATCAAAATATTATAGTTGGTTGACAAATTGTCAGTACATTCATATCAAAATGTTTATCTCTAGGGTTAAATATGATGTGAATTAAAACTAAAAGTGAGATTAGAAGAAAGAACAAAGAGAATTTAAAAAATGTTTGCTGTTGTTGTCATGGGAAGAGGCATGTGGGACAGATTGTGTGTATGTCCCTATGCACCTGTGTGTGCATTGTTCACCATAATTTTTGTGATCAAAGAAAGAGCACCAAATGGATTTACTCTCTTATCAATAAGTCTCCTTTTTTCTAAAATTAAAACATGAGTACATCCAAAAACCCGTGTAATTATCAAGATCACTACAATATTACTACATTGGACGATCGAATAAAAACAATAATAACAACGTTATCCGAATTTCAGTTTTTCATCAATTACTTTTAGATCTATTTATAAATAACTATAATACTGGGTTAATTGATTAAAAAATTTTAATTTCTATTCTTTAATAGTCATGTCACTTAGGATTAAATAATTTAATTTAATGAAAATCTAGAAAGTTTAAACAATTTTTTTTTTATGAAGAAAAAAAAGGGGGGGGGGGGATATTTTAAACTGAAGTACTGAACAAAGAAAATATATCAATTCGATTATAGACCTGAATTATAAGGCAGTATGAATAACTTAAATTAAAATATATGTGTGTGATTCTTTGTCGATAGACTAAGGTCAAAGATCGAAATACCCTAATTGGTTGAAAGAAGATGGTAATTAATTTGCCATAGAAAATCCATATTAAAATATCTATTTATAGGGACAATTATGAATTGAATCACAAAACCAAAAGTTAGATTAGGAGAAAGAGTAAAGATAACTTAAAAACTGTTTGCCGTTCTTGTTGCGGCAGGAGGCATGTGGGAGACAAAGTTTGTGCATGTATCCATGCACAAGTGCCTTCATTGTCCATTACAGTATATGTGATTATAGAAAAGCTATCAATTGGATCACAGACCTGAATTATAGGGTAGTATGGATCAATCCAATTAAAATATTTGTGTGTGATTCTTTGGCCTTAGTGCTGATAGACCAAGGTGAAAGATCTAAATATTCTAGTTGGTTGATAAATTGTCAGTAATTCACATCAAAATATTTATCTCTTGGGTTAAATATGAAGTGAATTAAAGCTAAAAGTAAGATTGGGAGAAAGAATAAAGAAAATTTAAAAAATGTTTGTTGTAGTCGTTATGGGAGGAGGTATGTGGGACAGACTGTGTGTATGTCCTTATGCACCTATGTGTGTATTGTCCACCATAATCCCTGTGATTAAAGAAAAAGTATTAATTGGATTGTAGATTTGTATTGCAAGGCAGTATGAGCAAAGCCAATTAAAATATTTGTATGCGACTCTTTTGTTTTAGTGACTATAGACTAAGACGAAAGATCGAAATATTGTAATTGGTTGATAAAAGATTGTACTTAGAAAATTCAAATCAACATACTTATCTCTAGGGTTAAGCATAGAATGAATTAAAATTAAATGTGAGATTGTGAGAATGAACAAAGAAAATTTTAAAAAATGTCTCTTGTTGTATCCGTGGCAGGAGGCAAGTGGGAACGAGTGTCTGTATGTCCCCATGTTTATGCGTGTTCAGTGTACATTGCAATCCCTGTGACCGAAGAACTAGTGTCAACTAGACTTTAGACCTGAATTACAAGGCAGTATCAATAAGGCCATTTAAATTTTTTATTTTATTTATTTTTTTTTGTGTGTGTGTGTGTGATTCTTTGGCTTTAGTGCTGATAGATTAAGGCGAGAGATCGAAATATTTCAATTGGTTGACAAAAGATGGCCATTAAATTGTCAGAATATTCAAGTCAACACACACATCTCCATGACCAAGCATTAAATGAATCAAATCAAAAGTGAGATTGTGAGAAAGAATAAAGAAATATTTATTCGGCCTTCTATTTTAGTAAGAAAAATTAACAACAAATAACAAAATTCAACAACTATAATACTGAATCAAGAAAGATGTCAATAGTATTCCATTCAAGGTAGTGATTACAAATCTAGTCAAAGTATTTGTATAGTGTCAAAGCACTTTGAGTTGTTAGATATCATAGACAAATATCCATTCCCTAGTCCTGTGATCATTGACTTCACCATACCTGTATTTAAAAACTAATTCAATGACGAATGAAAGTAATATTTATTTAACTATCGAGACTAAGTTTGATTAATAATTTTATGTTAACTTATGTCCAATAATCAAATCATAATTGATTCAAATTTTCATAAAATTTCATATAAAGACATTTACTGTAAACTTCCAATGATAAGACACTAATTAAAGGATATTTATAGTTAGAAATATCCCATGGAAATAAGTGGAATTTTTCAAAGGCAATAATATCCATTTTCAAACCTATCATGTTTGTAAAATAAATATATATATTTTTTCCACCGTTTGTAAGTCTTTCTACACACAAATATAAAATCCCTCAAAATCAAATTGATTATAAATTTGATTTAAGACATAATTTAAGATATAATAATGACATACCTTTTGGATATTGATGTGCTAACGTTTCATTGTTTCAATTTTATTTATATTTTTGGCGGTAATTGTTAATTATAAATCAGTGGTCAAATTTAATAAACTAAATTCATTTCAATAGATGAATTGATAAAAATGTATTAATGATACATTTTAATATTGAAATTGTTGAAGAATTTAGAAAATTTTATTTATATTATTATTATTTATTTTTGTCTAAATAAAAATTATAATAATTAAAACGAAAAGTCTAGGATTGAAAATCTTTGTTTATATTTATTATTACGAAGGTATTTTTTGATTGATTGTATATTAAATTGTTATATTAATTTTTTGCTGTATCCATTGTTTAAAAAATCTTTGTTTAAATTATTAATGGTATTTATAAAGTTGTTTTTAGTGTTAATTATTCTATAAGTTCTAATAAATTGTCCAAAATATATACCTCTGGTGCAATTTTTTGATATATTAGATGTTGATAGATTATATTTGATTATATTAAATTTAAAGTCATTTTTTTATTATAGATATTAATAGTTTTGGTAGTAAGATCTATTTGAAGATCTAAAAAATGAGCTTTTTTGTTATATTTGGTAGTTTCGTTGCTTTTTAAATTTAAATATTTAGGGTAGATAGAGTTAATAGATGATTGAAAGTTGTTATTATTGAATATTATTATATCATCTACGTATATAAATATGAACCATTTTACCTTATGTTGGTTATAAAATAGTAGTAGATTGGCTAGTAAAGGACTTGAAGAGGTGCCCATAGGTACTCCTTCTTTTTGTACGTAAATCTTGTTTTTAATTTCAATATAGTTAAATTTTAAAAAAGTGTCTAGGAGTTTTTTGCTTTTGATAGGTTTATAGGTATAGTTTTATAAAAATTGTGTATTACAGGTATGTTATAAGTTTTATCATTGATGAACTCTAAAAGCAGTTGACAATTACATTTATGTTTTTTAAATTTTTGTAAGTTTCTTATAAATGTGTTATAATTACATAATCTACTTCCTAAATTTTTGTTGTATTTCCATGTTGTTTGGAAAGTTAAATTTTGTATAGGAAATAGGTAATTAATTTTGTTGTTGTTGAGTATGTTGTTAAATTTGATGTGTTCAAATAAGTTATTATTAAATTTAATAATGACTTTTTGTGTTTTGTTTGTGTTTTGTGTAATTCTGAATTTATGTATGTCTTTAGTTATGTCTGTTAATCTGTTTGATAAGTTGTTAATTTTGATGTAGTTTAGTAGGTTTAGGAATTTTTGATTGTTTAATTTAAATAATGTTTTTATAAATATTTGTGTGAAGTTACTAGTATATTTTTGCTTGATATCTAAAATTTTATCAAATTGTACAAAACCTATTTTGTTAATGGTTTTACCTCTGTGTTGTGTGTGTGTTTTGATGGTTTTTTTTTGTATATGCAGCTGATTTCATAAATAGATTTTTCATGTTGAGGTGTTGCGTAAGTGTGGTTAAGTTCATCATTTAATCCATAAGGGTAAAGTGTGTTGTGTTCTAATATGTTTTTGTTTTCTAGTAGTAATCTTTGTTTTTTGTTCTGACATATATTTAGTATTTCAATGTTGTGATTGTTGAATGTGTGTGTGTTGTTGTGGTGTTTCATATAAGTGTTGCCTATTGAATTTTTTGAATGATATCTATGTAAGTTTATTCTAATGTTTAATGGATTGCATGTTTGACCTATATAACTTAAATTACATATGTTACATGTTATTTTATAAATAGTGTTTTCCACTTTACAACTAGGTGTTTGAAAGTTATCATGGTTCTTAAAGTTGGGGCAAGTTAGACATTTCTTATTCGTACATTTGTTAGCGATTTTAATACGCATTAAGAGGGGTGCTAACCCAATTAATGGTTAGGTTTTTATTATTTATGTTGAAAAATAAAAGTAAAAACCTATAAAAGTTATCGTTGGATAACTTTTATTCTTACAACAACGAGTTCCATCAACTCTAATATTTTTTTACAATTTTGAACCCTAAATGTATGATTTTGAAGTTTACGTATTATAGGGAATGTATAGATATATTAGTTTATATATATATGTATATATATATATATATATATATATATAAAAGTCAATTCCTGTCTGTCTGTCTGTTTCGCGATAAACTCAAAAACTACTGAACGAATTGGTTCCAAATTTTGCATGTCGCTTTTTATAAACCTGAGGAAAATTTTTGGCTACATTTTGCTTATTATTTTTGGCTATTTCTTTTTTTAATTTGAAGAACTATTTTTTTACGCGGACTAATCCGGAATGGAATGAATACCTAAATATGGCCTTTTTTTTTTAAAGCATCGGTGGCTTAGTGGTAGAATGCTCGCCTGCCACGCGGGCGGCCCGGGTTCGATTCCCGGCCGATGCATTTTTTTTTTTACAATTTTTAAAACTAATTTATAAAAAATATAATATAAATATATACTATTATATCAACTATATGAATTAAATCAAATACCTAAACACTAATCTCTATATATATAAAAGTCAATTTCTGTCTGTCTGTCTGTTTCGCGATAAACTCAAAAACTACTGAACCAATTCGTACCAAATTTTGCATGTCGCTTTTTATAAACCTGAGGAAAATTTTTGGATACAATTTGCTTAGTATTTTTGGCTATTTCTTTTTTTCATTTGAAGAACTTTTTTTTTTACGCGGAGTAATCCGGAATGGAATGAATACCCAAATATGGCCATTTTGTATACGCATCGGTGGCTCAGTGGTAGAATGCTCGCCTGCAACGCGGGCGGCCCGGGTTCGATTCCCGGCCGATGCATTTTTTTAAAACAATTTTTAAAACTCATTTATATTATATCTTCTATATATATATAAATGAATGTTTGTATGTTTGTTTGTTTGTTTGTTGGTTTGTATGTCCGGTATACAAATTCACAGTAGTTCACTAATTCAAACCAAAATTTCCATACATAGGTAAAAAAATACGAGGAAAACGATAGGCTATTTTAAATTATATATAAATTAAATATTAAAACTATATATTCAAATTATTCTACTTAGCTCACGAACAGTGCCCTCTATCAAGGTTATAAATACGTTTAAAATTGAAATCTTCTCAAAATTTTATTAATAATATTTCGCTTAATAATTAGAATACTTGATCTAAATCGAAATATTTATAGACGCTCGCTCGATTTGAAGATTTATATCGTAACTAATCTGACTGTAAAGTTTGGAGCGGGACGTTTCACAAGAGTGACATCCACGGCGCCAATTTATAATTGTGTAACGAATAGTGTTTGAATAAACATTTAATCGGGTAAACCCGGGCGTTGCCCGGGTCATTCGTCTAGTTATATATAAAAATATATTATATATATATATATATATAAATTTTTATTTTGTATTTTTATGTTAGTGAACAGATATCCTTGTAAAATTATTATTGAATGGTTTTAGTTGTGCGCATGGGTCAGTTTTACAAAATGACTATGGAGAAGAGACTGGATCCAGCAGTTTACCGCTATGCCCTCGCCCTCCTGTCTGACTCCCTGATCACTGGAGGAAGAAGGATCCTGTTGGACCGCGGACTGATCCGATGGATCCATGGTCTACTCTGGATCTGCTGTTTCTCCTACCTGGCATATCAGACTTCTGTCTACATCAGTATCTACCTCACCTATCCAGTCACCCTGTCTGTCACTTTGGAGTATCCTGAAAGCGTAGAAATGCCTGCAACTACAGTCTGTACTGGACAAAGGTACTGGTGATATTAACTTTGTCTCTTTTTATTCTTTTATTTTTTAATAAGTATAAATATATCATTTATTTACTTTTGAAATTCCAAAAGGTTTAACCTACTAATAAATAAAAAATTGAAATATCGCGTGAGAACGCCCTTGCAGCCTTAGAATAATTGTTAACGCTTTGTTAAATGCTTTAATTTTTGTTCGCTCCTTACGAGCACAAAATAATTTTGTCGAAAGGTAGAGATAACAAAAAGGTTTATTGGCCGAAGTATCTTTAATTTCAAGAGCTATGAATGCCGACCAGGCTGTCTCTATCTTTACTATATACTAATAAAGAGTGCAAAAAATTTATCAATTTTTATAAAGCCTTTATTTATGTGTATTTTGTAATTTGCTAATATTCTAAATAAGGTATCTTTTCTATAAAAAATATATTCTATAACAAAAAAATCGACGCACCAAGAAGGAGTTGTCAGATTAGGACAAAAATTGGTGTATGTAAAGAGCATGTATAGGGAAAAAAAACGATTGAAATTTCAGAACAATTACTTGTTTTATTTCAGAGTTTGATCGTCACAAATTGAGAATGTCAATATGTCGTTGGACCCCCACTGGCCTGGATGCAGGCTGCCACCCGGCGTGTCATGGACTGATAAAGATTCCGGATGGTGTGCTGCGGGATTTCTTGCCAAATTGTCTCCAATTGTCGGGCTAAATAGTCAACATTCTGGGATGGTTTCAATCGCCTTCCCATCACGTCCCAGATGTGCTCTATGGGCGAGAGATCAGGCGACCTTGCTGGCCACGGAAGAGTTCGGCAAGATTGAAGACAATCCATAGTAACATGTGCCGTGTGTGGCCGGGCATTATCTTTTTGAAAAGTAAGCCCGGGGTTATGTGAGAGGAACGGCAACAAAACAGGCCGTAGAATGTCATCTACGTAGCGTTGTTCTGTCAGGGTGCCAGGAATGACTACCAATGGGGTCTTTCTATCAAATGAAATGTCACCCCAGACCATAACGCCCTGTTGTGGACCTGTGTGGTGTTCGACAGTAAGGCCAAGGTCCACACGCTGCCCAAGACGTCTCCAGACACGTTTGCGACGGTTATCAGGACACAATAAGAAACGGGACTCGTCACTAAAGACTATACGTCCCCAGTCAGCGCAGTTCCAAATTGATTGCTCCCGACACCACTGTAGTCGGACTTGTCGGTGCACGGGTGTGAGGGGAAGGCATCGTAACGGTCGGCGAGCTCTTAGATTTCGCTCTCTCAGTCGCCTGTTGATGGTCATTTTGGACACTTGTGTGACGGTCACACGTTGGATGGTAGATAACGTGGATTCCAGTGCTGCGACAGCCATTCTGACAATTGCTCTGTCCTCCCGTTCTGTTGTTGCCCTTGGTCGACCGCTGCCGTCCTGACGTTGCATGCTTCCGTTGTTGACCCACTTTTGCCAACATCGCCTAATAGCCGCATCACTTCGACACAGATGTCGCGCGATTAGTCGATTAGACCAACCAGCCTCTTTCAATTCAATGGCACGATCAGTTTCAAACTCTGACATATGTTCGTAATGAGCACGAATCTTTCGGCGAGGCATTGATACAGTAGAAATAGGCGTACTGCTAAAATATTGAACGGAAATTCTGAAAATCATCTCGTACCGGGCCGAATAATGAGTATATAATGCTCGTGCTGGATACGAAGTTCAGATGCGCTGGAGCTCTTGCTTTGCATATATCAGCCACCAAATTTCAATCATTTGCATGTTTGGTCGAAACCTCTTTGTATACGTATTTTCATATAAATCGGACAACTGCTTCTTGGTGCGTCGATTTTTTTGTTATACAGTGTATTAGACAACTACACTAACAATAACTATTATTTATTGTCGTAAAATGTTATAGGTAATTTGTAAATGATCTAATATATATATATACCTTTAAAATCAACGCAATCTCTATACTTTGATGCTGTAAGCAAATAAAAACACAATTTATGTATTCCAGCATTGACCGAGAGAAGTTCTGTGCTGCCAATAAACTTCACTGTTTTGAAAATGGAGTAAGTTAATGGTTTCATATTCTAACCATATTATTTCAAATTTTATATTTTCTAATAGATTTCTTCTCTATATAAGCTCGTAGGGTATATTGGGCAAGTTCTCATGAAATTTGCAACATTGAATATTTCTATAAATTCTGGAATTATCATATTTCAGGCTTAATGGTACACATTCCAATTGGGAACCTAAATTGATTGTTTAAGACTTTTAACATAATACTCGGAGCTTTAAAGGTCACAATATTCAATTTTCGATGAAATACGTTTGATATTAAGAATAATTTTGTTCTGGTGTCTATTAGAACTCTCACTTTGAGGCCATTTATTATTATAAAAAGAGAATCGGAATATAATTTGGCTTATGTCGTTGTAGGGCTTTCGTTTTTGGCGACCTCACCTCTCTTGTAGGTCGCACCTCTTAGTTTTCCTAGTCCATAGGCCTAGGAGAGCGGCTGGAGAACCTGATGGGCGACTGTAATTGGCATCCTTTATTTTCAACTTTTCCCGACCAAGGTGTAGTGATGGACCTCTGGGATAATTGCGTCGTTTGCTAAAGTTTTTTTTCAACTTCAGAGTTCTTTATGTTCCTAGAGGGGTAACGATTGTGTTTATTATAGTAAGTTCGATTATTATTGAAATATTAGGCTGAGTATATTGTATTGGTTTACTGAGTTCATTTTTGATAATAAAAACAATAAATAGAACGAAAAAATGGTGTGAGCGTAATTTAAAATAGCATGTGTTGTTTTAGACCGTCCATCCTGACTACCAACATTTCACAAGAACTGCTTCAAGAGAAGACTTCCACAGATATAAGAATGAGCTGGACAATTATTATACTGTTTCTACTTGTGGAGGAATCTCAGATTGTTTGGAGTAACTATCTTCTTCATTCTTAATTTCTACCAACTATTTGAATATGTCAGGTCTGTGTGGATATTGAGCTTCATAATTACAATGTTTGAAAAATCTTTCTACTTTAATTTTTTAAATATTAGTAGCACTCTTTAGAGAGAGAGAGAGAGAGAGAGAGAGAGAGAGAGAGAGAGAGAGTGGTAGTATTCAATATAAAATTGCTGCCTCTCGAAATAAAGAACTAACCCTATACCCAACGCTTCTTAAGGTCGTGTTCGCTAAAAAAGGGTTCGCCAAACTGGAATGATTTTCAAAATTCGCACCTGCAAAATGACGAGCTCGAAATAGACGCGTAATAGTTGTCATTAAAGATGGGCAATGGGTGAACTGGTGGTTAAACTCGGAGGCCATTTTTAATACTACAAAAATATTTTTAAAATATATAAAATTATAAAATAAAAAAGAGTCCAACGCAGGATTTGAACCCGCGTCTTAGCGGTCAAAAACCAATATATACTCGCATTTACATTGAAGATGTGCATTTGGTGAACTGATGGTTAAACTCGTGGCCATTTTTTAATTTAAAAAAAGTATTTAATAATACATAAAATTATATAAAATAAAAGAAACATTCGCGCTTTTAAATCCTTCTATTTTATATGTATAGATGGCGCGTTATTGCTTTGTGTTAATAAAATTATATATAAAATAAAAAAAATATATATATTTAAAAAAAGAGCCCAACGCGGGCCTCTTAAATTGAAATTTATACATTGTGTTCTTCTTGTGCTTATAGATCAAATGTTTTAACAGGGTGTTATCAACAAGGTCAGCTTAGAATTCCTCTGTTATTGATCTTGTTATCCCTCACCTACTTTTCATTTGGGCTTAAGACCGTGTTGGCAAAGTTATAAGTACCTAAATATCTGAGTAGTGATCTTTATTTAAATGTCGGAACCTTTTCCATATTAAACTCCTTTTTTTGATATCATAAATAGACAATAATTTCATTTTAAACTTTCTTATTCGAATGAAGTAAAAAATGAGTAGTAAGAAAAGTCTATAAATGTTTGGAAATTATAATAAGTTGTAATTATTTTACAATTAACTTAACAGATTTTCCGTGTATATCATATTTAACTAATGATCAAGAAATCTAGCATGACAAAATTTCACTGTAATAAAAAAAATATACACTCATGGACAAAACTTAAAGAAATTGTACCTTTTAGCATGTATATCGGGATTCAGATAATAACTCTGAAACATACGAGGTGTGTTAAAAAAGAATCGTGAATTTTGAATTTTCGCGGGTTACGTATATTCGAATTTCGATCTTTTTGTGGCTTTATGTTGGTACTCATGTCTTTCACTTATGCCGACAAGCTCGGCCATTTTGAATGTTCACTTAATTGTTGACAGCTGCTTTGCTTGCAGGTGTTTTGGATCGTCTTCGATTTTTACCTATTAAAAAAATGGATCAAAGAACCTGTATCAAATTTTGTGTGAAAAACGAAATTAAGTGCGCGGATGCATTCCGAATGTTGACTGTGGCATACGGAGAAGCTACCTTGGACCGAAGCAACGTTTATCGGTGGTACAAAATGTTCTCAGAAGGCCGAGAAGATGTGAACGACGAAGAGCGTGCCGGAAGCCCGAGCACTTCAACAACAGACGAAAAAATTAATGAAGTGGAGAAAATGATATTGGCCAATCTTCGAATCACCGTTAGAGAAGTTGCTGAGGACCTAAACATATCGATTGGCTCGTGCCATTTGATTTTTATCAATGATTTGGGCATGAGACGGGTCGCCGCGAAATTCGTACCAAAATTGCTCAATTGCGACCAAAAACAGCATCGCATGAACATTGCTAATGAGATGTTGGACTCTGTCCGCGACGACCCAAATTTGCTCCAGAGGGTCATAACTGGTGACGAAGCGTGGGTTTATGGTTATGACGTGGAAACCAAAGCTCAATCATCTCAATGGAAGCTGCCGCACGAACTAAGACCGAAAAAAGCGCGCCAAGTTCGGTCGAATGTGAAAGTTTTGCTGACAGTTTTCTTCGATTGCAGGGGCGTGGTGCATCATGAGTTCTTGCCACAGGGTAGAACGGTCAATAAGGAATATTACCTGCAAGTTATGCGCAATTTGCGCGAAGCCATCCGCCAGAAACGCCCGGATTTGTGGAAGAACAAAAATTGACTTTTGCACCACGATAACGCCCCTGCTCACACATCGTTGCTTGTGCGCGACTTTTTGGCCAAAAACAACACACTAATGATGCCGCAGCCACCGTATTCCCCAGAACTGTTCCCTAAACTGAAGAGGCCCATGAAAGGACGACGTTACGCTACGCTTGACGAGATAAAGATTGCATCGAAGGAGGAGCTGAAAAAGATTTTTAAAAAATGATTTTTTGAAGTGCTTCGAAGATTGAAAAAACCGTTGGCACAAGTGTATAATATCTCATGGGGATTACTTTGAAGGGGACAAAATTGGTATTCATGAATAAATAAATAATTTTTGAAAAAACACAAAAGTCGCGATACTCTTTGAACACACCTCGTATTTGATACACAGTGATCTTTATTGAAGATACACGAAAATGCCTTTTATCTCCTTAATAAAAAGTCTACTGGCGACATCAAAGACTTTCCAATTTCTTATGTTTTGTCCATGACTGTAAACATTAAATAAATTGAGCAGTGTGAATTCAACTGTGATGTAATTATGGTGTTTTGCGAATATATAAACAAGCTCCATGTTGTCACCAAATGTTCCTATTTATGAATATTTTGAGCATTTGCTAATTCTTAAATTGCTATGCTTTAAATTTGATTTTGAAAATATTACTGATATCATACCATGTTAGAAATTCATAACACGTATATCTTCAATTTTAAAGACATTTTATATAATTTATGAATTCATAAAAGTGTATTAATGGTTTCAAAGAAACCATCGTGTCTTGTTTACAGGTATTTTCTTTCAAAAAAGTAAGCATTTTCAAAAATGAATGCCAAAAAGGCAAATAAGCTTTTTGTTCATTTTCAAATTACATGTTGAATATTTAATTTGAGAAACTAATTAAGGCGATTTTGTCATTTATTAAATAAAACAATTATATTGGTCATTTTGCCATACAAAAATTATTGGGAAGGCCTAGTTTATCAGTAATGGTATCTATAAGGTTGTCCCAAAAGTTCGTGTCTTTCTTATTACATTGCGCAAAATAATATTAAGGCGAATACATAATAATACACATAATACAAAGACATTATACATAACGGCGAATAATAGTGGTATTCCAATTTTTTCAAGTGTTTATTAATCTTTGGGACAATCTTGTTGTTGTTGTTGTCGTGTCCAAAGAAGAGCCTCAGATGTCTCCATGCATCTCCATCACCGCAGCAGCAATGTTCACTATCTTGGGTGTGTAAAGCTGCTGCTCTATCTTGTAATTACATGATATATTTATATAATATTTGATATTCTGCAATATCTCTGTTTAAAATAGATGATTTAGCATTTTGAAACAGCCCTTCAACATTCCGCTATCTTCCTCTAATCGACAACCATGGCCACCGGACCATCTGCCATATCTTCAACCAACGAGTGGACCATCCCAACTTGACCAATTTTCCTCAGATTAAACTGATCTCAGGTACTGGTCTCATTTTATATAGTTTAGATATTATATAGATATTACAGCCTCTATCTTTAAATTTAGTTTTATTCTGAAATTATCAGCTCTATTAATCTAGAGAAGTTTTAATAATTTCTTTGAATATTTATAACAAAATATTCTTTTGTTTTTGATTGTTTTAATATAAGGTGGTCTTTAAAGTTCGTGTTTTTCTTAAAACGTTGTTTTTCTTATTACTTGGCGAATAATATTATTACGGCGAATATATAATAATCTATATATATATAAATGAATGTATGTGTGTGCGTGTCCTTTATGCCTGACCAAACCACTCATTGGAACGCCATGAAACTTTGGGAAGTTATTTAGTATAGTACTGGGAAGGTTTCTGAAAAATAATTTCTTGAATATCTTGAATATCCTTAGAGTTATTTGCAGATTTGTAGATTTAACTCGCAAGCAGCGCCACCATTGCGATGGAGATAGGCTTAGGTAGGAAGTCTGCTCCACGCCTGATGACCTTAGGTCTTTCAGGGCTAATATATTAGGTAAAACTAATTCAAATATTAGTGCTTTATAATTGCTATCTCCTTGAGGTTACCGATTTAAAAGTTTATTTTCTAATTTTAATTTTTTTTTTTGTAAAAGAAACATAGTTTATTTTAAAAAGTTTAAATAATTGTGCAAGACGATATATACGATATATAAAAATCAAAATAAATAATGGGTATCGTTTAAATATAAAATTTGAATAAATATAAATGCGATACTAAAAATTAAATAACTTATATAGAAGCTTTTGCATAGTTTCGTCCTGTAAGCATACCAACTTGATAAAAGTTTCCTGTTTTCCCTTTGAATTTGCTTGATACGAACCTCTATTCATTTTTGAATTAATAGAAATCAGACGATAACCATAGGTCATAGCCATTCAAAAGTTGGTTTAGGTCGTCAATCCTTTGCGAACAAATGGAAATATTCACGCTGGAGCCATCTCCGCAGATTTTTAAAATGGTATCCCGTGTCGTTTTTTTTTTAAATATAATTTGAGAGCCACCCCTCGCTTGAAGCAAATCCTTTAATCCCAGGAGACTGCGCGAAAGACTTGAACATGAAACCGCCGACGGAACGTTTTGTCCTCTATATTGACGAATCCACTTAACGAATCCACCAAGCTCTGATCTCCGCCCGTAGAGCGTGGGAATTTTGCGCACAAGTCAAAGTTAGTTTTATCATTTATCTACAACATATATATTGGGAGAATAGATAAAATGATGATTTTGTAATGTAGAAAATTAGGAAAGACAAAATTCAGGATGACACGGCAATTTATTTGAGACAAGAATAATGATACAATTCCAAGGCAAAGATACTATTCCTTTAACTTCCAATTACCGAAAAAACCAATTAATATTGATTTTATTCAACTTATCGAGTATTTTTCAAGGGACCGGGAAAAAATATTCACTAGATGAAACGATGATTTTGTAATGTAGAAAATTAGGAAAGACAAAATTCAGGATGACACGGCACACATGGACCGGAAAAAATGTTCACTTTATCGAGAGTTTCAAATTTACGAGTTTCAAATTATCAAAATATATCTATTATTTTTTTTTATATAAGTTTATAGATAATTGTTTTAACAAATGTTCGTTAGACAAACCTTTACTCGGGTAAAACCCGGGCGAAGCCGGGTACATCCGCTAGTACTTAATACAATTACTTTATGCATAATACAAAGACATTATACATAAAGGCGAATAATATTGGTATTTCAATTTTTTGAAATTTTTTACCAACTTACCAGCAATTTCTAGAGTTTATTATACTATTCCGCTCT